CTTGAATTGCGGTCTTGTTTCAGTTAGAAGTTGTAAGTAATGTTCGATCCAAGATCATTCTTCTATTAAATATATTCTACTCATTTATTTTCTGTTTGGTTTCGGGTTTTTTGCCGATTTTCATGCTTCTCTTGATCTTGTTGACCCAATAATGGTATACTGGAGATATTGATTAACCGATAAAAACATTTTGTATACACCACTAAGGCTTTTTTTACTGCCCATCAGCATAAATAACCTCTTTACGCTACTAGAGAACGATTATATATCGTGGGTGACTGAAAAGATGTAGAAATATCGTTGGAAGAATAAAAAAATCTAGTCAAAATTAGAAGGCAATGAGACGAATAGGAGGAGAGGGCTTATAAAAGAAGTAAACAGCTAAGGAGAATTCCAACAAACAGAGAAGAAGCTAAAAAGACGGTCGGAATTATGGAAATATTAAAATAATTGGCTTCAAGTGTGGCAAAAAGATAGGAAAGGACATATGCTGCAGAGTTCAGAAAATTAAGAGCAGAAATCAAGAAGCTAAAGAAAGAAAATGAAGTTAATGAAAAGGATAGTGAACAAATAAGGAAGGACAATTAAGAATTAAAGAATAGACTAAAATACCTAGTAAAAGAGGAGAAATATTATAGCTTGATTATAACAGGGTTGCATGTAGGCACAAAAGATCCAGGCGTACTAAATCATAAAATGGAGAAGATGATAGAGAACATTAAAAATAAAAGTAAAAATCATTTAAAATAATTTAAAACTAAAACTAATGGAAGAAATTATTTATATAAACGATGATTTTAGAGTGAACGAGAAAAAATGAAAGAGAAGGAATTGTTACAATAGATAACATAATTTCAAGATGGAACCGAACTGAAAGCAAGCTGGCCCCAGCAGTAAAATAGAGCTAATTAACAGAGATAGGCCACATAATAATGAAACTATGGCAACCAACAAGGACTTGAAGCCGGTTTCATAATCAGTCATCGATTACAAAGTTTCGTAGTGGAGTTCGAGTTCATAACTGAAAGGATTTATAAGCTAAGATTGCGAGGAAAGACTAGAAAGTTAAGTTTTATAAACAAACATCCTCCATCAGTGAATAAAGACGTAAATGTTGGACAAGAATTTTATAGTTGCAGCGTGCAAATAGTGATGCTCGATTCAATTTTCGAAAGCTCAATTTCCATTATCTGAATAGTATTCATTGCGAAAATACTATTTTAGATTGCCGTTTGTATCTTAAGATTGTTCAACTATTATTTCCATTAAAATAGTTATTCTTCGCAGATATTGTATTCTCAAACAAATTGTTTATGAAGTTGTTCATTTCTTGTAATTTTAAAATATTCAAAGTTAGTTCGTTTCAAAAGAAATTTTTACTTAATGGCATTAACCTTCTTGTTCTTTTGCTCATATAAATATTCTCGTTGCACCGTTCAGATTTTTTTTTGGGTAGCCTCTGTCTCTGTTTGAGTAGGTGTGATCTATAAATCCCAGAGAATGACGAGGCTCTAATCCGTGAATGGGCAATTGTTGATTAAAAAGCTGTTACCCGGCAACCAAAAGGTGTAATCTTAGATCAAATAGCATTGATCCATTTGTGGCAGACAAGTGAATACTATCATATCCAGACTAATAAAGTAGAAGAAAACGTTACTTTTGCCGCTGGCAGTAATTTTGTGAAGTCCTTAGTATTTGTTTGTAGACCTTTCGTCTGACGCCTTTTAAAGAAGATCTTGAGGCGTGAATAATCCATTTGAGGACAGCACCTGAATAAAAACTGTTACTGCCTGTCAATAGAGACTTATTATTTTTTATAAAGTAACTTCATAAATTCTAAAAGGTTATCTGGAATTGTGACCTTAATAAAACGAGAGAGTATTGCGTTCATACCGGAATTCAGTATTCTTACTGATAGTGTATTGTATGCACAGAGAATGCAAAGGAGGAGGATACAAGGACCCAAAGACCTCATGCTCCCCGTGTTGATGTTGGCGATTTCATGTTGAATTTGTTTCTTGGTTCAATTTTGGCACTTAGAATAAATTCAATATTTCGTTATCAATGTCCACACGACACGGTAAGATAGATCTACCAAATGATATAATATATCAAAGTATGATATTGAAATTATAATATGTGACTTAAACGCAAAAGTTAGAAACAAAGAGATATAATGCGTAATATATTATTTCCAAATAATGTCTTAATAAGGAGGTTGAGGAAAATAAGCACAAAACCTTTTTTTTTGTATAAATCAATCATGACAGATTAAATCAATTAAATAACTTAATGATTAATTATGTTTAATATATTCTTATAGTTTTCGCATTAGAAAGGAATAAGTTAATTAGTAAAAAATATTTATTGTAACATATAATCGGAAATGAAATTACAAAATATGAAAATACTGAAACTGGCAATTTTAATATACTTAATTATGTGGTAATATTTATTTTTAAATTCTTATAATATTCGACAGGAAATATCTCAACATTTGTGCATTACAGAGAATGTGTAGTATTTATGTTATTACAACATGTCACTAAAATGCAAGAATTTTTCGTAGAAAAATCATTTCATGTTATTCAAGATTTGCGACGTCAAAACCCCACAACGTTGCCAAAACATCAGATTAGTTAAGTTAATTATTCGTTAAGATATAAAAAAGGAATTTTTAAAATTTCAATTATTTAAGAATACACTAGTGAATACACTAGTAGAATGAAGAAAACATTCACAATTTTAAAATTTCTTCCTTCAGTTTTTAATAATGTGGAAAATGAGATAAGTTTAATCCATAATATTATAAAACATCACTTACAAATGTATAATTTAGCCAACAGCTCTCTACAGCGACTATTCAGTTATTTTGGCATTTTTCAAACACAATCACAATACACAACAATTATTAGTTTTTAAATTTATTGAGCTACATTAAATATATACATATTTATAAGTATAGTTTATTAAAGTTATATATTGGGAATTAAATTGATACACAAATAAAGAGAAACATAAACAGAATTCTTATTATAAGAATTTAAATTTTCGTCAGCGCTGTCGGCATTCTGGCCACACACCAAAATGTCATTTGAGTTTTATTTATGCTTATATCATCAACGTACAATTGCTTAATCTGTTTGATTAAAATTATTGCATAAAATTAATACTATTAACCCGTAACCGGTGACGTGGAGTCTGAGTGACTCTTGCGAAATTAAGTTCCTTTCTAAAAACAGTTCATAAACCAAGCAAGCGCTTTTTTTTGATTAGTTTACGTTTAGCCGTTTGCGAGAACAGACGTTATTGGAGTCAGCGAGACTCAACGAGCAGTCATGAATCCGATCCAGAAGACAATATTCCAGAAACTTTAAACCAAGACTGGTCCAGTGATGATAAAAATAATATATTGGCATCAAGATCTTCAAACTACTTTTATGGTAAAAACAGATTTAAGTGGTCAGCTAGTGCACCAAAAAATATTCGTACTCAAAGGCATAATATTTTGATTATTATTACTACATTTACCGTGGCTGCAAGGAAAGGCTCGGTCTCTTGGTCTTTCGGCACCTCCAAAGGAAATTTGGGACTGTTTATTTACAAATCAAATGTTAAATGTAGTAGTCGAATGGACAAATGTAAAATTGGCAAGTGTTAGGGTCAAATACAAGAATGAAAATAGGTCGGAATTAAAAAATGTCGACCAGGTCGAAGTGGAAGCATTTTTAGGCTTATTGATTTACACCTCAGTATTTAAGTCCAATGATAAAGACATATAATGTCTACTTGCTACAGATGGAACGGGCAGAGAAATTTTTCGGCCCGTAATGGATGCTAAGAGATTTGCAGTTTTATTGACTTTTTTACGTTTTGATGACCATTCCACAAGAGAACAACGAAAAGCGGTAAATCCATTAGCACCAATTCACGAACAATTTGAATCTTTTATACAAAACTGTCAAACGGAGTTTTCTGTTAGTAAATATATATGCCTTGATGAAATGTTATTTAGTTTCCGGGATAGATCACGCTTCAGAATGTATATTCCAAACAAATCACGAAAATGTGGACTTAAAATTATGATATTAACAAATGCAACAAACGTATGTATATACAGGCCAGGATTCCTATGGAATGGGCCTTTCAGTAACTGAGAAAAAATTTGCTAAACCTACTCAATCTGTGTTACGGCTTTCTAAGCCATTATTTTGCACTAAACGTAAACTGATAGCTGATTATTGGTTCACGTCTATAGAACTAGTTCAGTTGTTGAAATCTAATGGAATAACATATGTGGGAACTATGAAAAGGTTAAAAGACCTATTCCTTCTGAGTTTCTTCCTCAAAGGCATAGAGAGATTGGTTCAGTTACATACGGTTTTACAAAAGACATTACCTTTCTTTCGTATGTTACTAACAAAAACAAAGCCGTCACACTAGTATTCTCCATGCATCATAGTATGCCCTTACAAAAGCGGCGTTGACGCTTTGGATGAAAAATGTACGGTTTATAGTTCGTCCAGAAGAACGCAACGTTGGCCAATGGCTATATTTTACCAAATACTAGATATGCGTACAGTTAACGCTTTCGTTATGTGTCAGTGTTATAGAGAAACCAAAACTTTAGACAGAAAAGATTTTATGAAGGTACTGGCTAAAAGCTTAATTGAAGCACACATGTATAACAGCAGAATACCGACAGAAATAGGAGAAAACATAAAGCGAATACTGTGCGTGGTTGAACCTCCTTCTATTTAAGTAGATCGGTTAGCAGTTCGAAAATATTGCTACATTTGCCCATCAAAACTTCATAGGAAGACATCTTATTTATGCGTCTGTTGTAAAAAACCCATTTGCATTGACTTGTTCTCATAAAATATGCAGAAACTGTAACGTTGAAAAAGAATAAAAAAATAATCCCATTTTTTTGTCCTTATTTACCCCCTGTACGTTCCATTGCGTTTAGACTCCTGATGATAATTTTTATTACCATAAAATATATCATATTTGTTATACCTAATATTAAAACCATTTGTACAGAGCTAACAAACGACAGTAGCACAGAGTACTCGCTTTGGAAAGCTACAAAAAGAATTAAAAGGCCAATATTACATTCTCCTCCAATAAAACTAGAAGACGGTAGTTGGGCCAGAAATAATCAGCAGAAGGCAGATAGATTTGCCACACATCTAGAGAACACTATTAAGTTGCAAGATGACCAAGACGATGACCAGGATTGGCCCGAACCAGAGCAAATAGATGAGAAGATCAAGTCAACTTCCCCAAAAGAAGTAGCTGAGTTAATTAAAGAACAAATCAATCCAAATAAAGCACCAGGTTATGACCTCATTACCGGAAGACTGCTAAAAAATCTACCAAGAAAAGCTATCGTAAAATTAACCAATTTAATAAATGCTGCCTTTAGACTACAATATGTTTCAGATTTATGGAAGATAGCTGAGGTGATCATGATACCAAATCCTGGGAAACCCCCCAATGAAGTGACATCATATAGACCAATATCACTCCTACCTGTGATGTCCAAGGTGCTGTGAAAAACTCCTCCTGCAAAGAATCCTACCAATAATTGAAGAAAATAAACTAATTCCAGATCATCAATTTGGATTTAGAAATAATCATTCGACAATTGATCAGGTGTATAGAATAACTGCTATAATTGAAAGATCATTAAAGAAAAGAAAAGTCTGTCCTGCAACCTTCCTAGATGTGGCACAGGCGTTTGATAAAGTCTGGCATAAGGGTTTAATACATAAACTTAAATCATTCATGCCTAAACATATTCAAATATATTACAATCATATCTAGCGAACAGACATTTTAAGTTAAACAAGATACAACATGCATACACTGATCTCAAGAATATTGAAGCAGGTGTTCCACAAGGAGTGTGTTGGGTCAGTCCTATACCTAATATACACGTTGATATACCTGAACTGAAGACGACACCATAGTACTTCGCAGATGACACTGCTGTCTTAGCATAGGTGAACCGTCGAAGAAGCTACGGAAAAACTACAAATGAAATAAATAAAATCATGATGGACCAAAAAATGGAAATTAAGCTAAATGAGAATAATCAGTCTCTCATAAAAAATACAGAGAAAATGTATTGTTGATGGGAAGGCATTCCTCTCTATCCATAAAGAATAAACTCCTAATCTATAAACAAATACTGAGGCCAGTATGGACCTATGGCTGCCAACTCTGGAGCTGTGCCAAGCCTAGTAACATCAAAGTAATCCAGGTATTCCAGAATAAAGTGCTGAGGAACATCGTAGATGCACCTTGGTACGTTAGGAACAACGATCTTCACCGGGACCTCAAGATGGAAGACGTCAATCAGATAATCAAAAAATTTGCAGGGGAGCCATGAACAACAACTCCATCATCATGTAAACGTCGAGGCTATCTAGCTCCTCGACAATACGAACCTAGAGAGAAGGCTCAAAAGGACAAAGCCTTTTGAACTGGTATAATGAGTGAGTTAAAAGCAGAGCAAAGTGTTGTGCGAGTATGCATGCTAAATTTAATGCTAGTTATTAGAAATAATAGGAAAGATACTAGTGAGTAGACACCTAATTTTAAGTTTTCATTAGTAATTTAACTTAGAAACAAATCGATAATTGGTCTTACTGACCAGATTTTAATGTAAGTACACTTACACTTGTACATACTAAATTTAGAAATATTAAAAAAAAATTAAGCTTTACGACGTAACACCGTAATTTATTTATTTGCAACTTTTGAAAAAAAAATGTTAATAATAAGAACAGTTAGTAACAGAAGGAACTAAAAAGACACTACGATATTGCAAAAGTGCCTCACCAAAATTATTATAAACAATGTAGTAAAATAATTATTTAAATTTAAATGGGACAAGCATATTTATGCTGAGTTCCGGAGACTCCACGTCACCGGTTATGTTCCAAAAATCGGACGTCACCGGTTACGGGTTAATAATAATAAACGTTTTGGTATATTTAATTAATTTAATTTTAAAATTATCAATGTAATCACGATTACATTTTTCTTATTATAATACCATTTTGACGCCTATATCGTGCAGCTCCGTAAAGGTGTCGTATTTTTGGCTATGTTATGGAAATTAGAACTCTAATGTTATGGAAATTTTAAATACAAGTGACGCCAGTTTGTCTAAATCGTGACCTGAAATGATTTTACTGTGAAAAATACTACATTAAGTTACAGTTTACAATAAAATGCGTTGTACAAAAAAAATAAAGCTGGTGAAGATGTGTTGTGATCATGGACGTATGTTGTGATTTATTATTCATAACATATATTTATTTAGTTCTTTATCAATATCTACACCTAAATTGTTTATAATATTTTATGTACACTTATAGATTATGTTAATTAAAACTTAAAAGTTTAATTTGCAAACGGATTTAGTAGTAAATATATGCATATTTGTTATTGTGCCTAATCGAATAATCAGTATACTTAGATAAAATATACAGCTATAGTCTATATTTAACTAAAAATTATTAATGTTACACTCGGCTGTTGACTACGTTGTTGTTACTCATACTCATAATCATATTCTCTTCAACCGAATGGTGCCTCTCTCCATTATTGTTTTTAGGTTTTGGAGTTTTGTCTTTGGACGGCATCATAATCTCTCTAAGAACCTTTCTAAAAGGCGCTTCTACCAATAAATACAGCACCAATGCTGTTATAAAAGCTAGTACTATATCCGAGAGGGCTAAGCTGATCTAAAAAGAAAAAATAAAACGTTTTATTTGCTATATTTTAAGAGAAAAAAATTTCATCAACTTTAAAATCTTAAACAGGGATCCCTACTTTTTTATTCCAGATTTGGCTTAGATTGCGATAACCGAAAAAAAAAAAACGATTTATCCTGATATCATCGGAGAATTATGGAAATGGTCTAATATGTCAAGAAATAAACTACCAAATAAAAAACTGACAAACACGTGTTCAATATTTTTCAAAAATCTATCGAAAAACATCAAACACAACTCTCTATCCCACCCTTTTCTTTAGAACGATCTTTAATTCACTTTTATTAAAAACCGTAAAAAAACATTTAATTTAAGTATTTTGTTTAATTTTTATTTAATTTAAAAATTAAAAAATTACTTTTTGTACTTTACCTCATGTAAAATATTGTATGGTATCTAACTAAGCAAAAAAGATGAAGGTGTACAAGCCATTCAGCTTTGAAAATACGTCTTATAGGCTAAAAGAATGAAGGTGTTAAATATGTAGGCTAAAAGAATGACAGTTCACCTAGTTTAGATTGCTGACCACAGAGGTCTCTGCTATTGGTGCTGTTTGTTGCCCAGATGTTTTTTAAACGTACACATCTGTGTCTATTTACAGATTTCTGTTATTCTAATGTAGATTCGTGTTATTTTATTATTGAAGTACTGTGGTGTTTAAAATGTCTAACAACGAATATTCTGCAGCAATTGAAAAATATTCAAGAAAAAGAAAAAGTTTTGGTCCCATACAAAAATAATGAAAAGTTAGTGAGTTTATGTAGCCATGAGTTAGGACCAGACTGTCAGTGTTTAATACTTCAGTGTTTTAAAAACATAAGTTTAAATGAAAAACAAGATAATACTTTTAAGTTTAATCTGCTCTCATTACATGACAAACAATCAGTGTATCTTTGGGGACTGATAGTATGCTGTCCTATCATGCGCCATATGCCTAAGAAGCCCAAAGCTGAAGCAGAAGTACATTTCTGTCCCTTCTGGCATCACTGCCAAAAGAGTAAAGAATTTACAAAGGAGTCTAAAACAGGCGTAGAACCATTGGACATTCGAGAAAAGCATTGTTTGAAGTCTAATAAGATTCCGGATGATATTATTGCCTCTCTAATGAATCAGTCAAATTTATTTATCAGAGATGTCAACTGCGACGTATAGGCATGTCTGGTTGATTACGAGAAAGCGTTTGATCGAGTACAGCACGCCTAGATGATGCATATACTAAAAGAAGCAGGAATTAACAAACAAGATCTGAAAATAATTAGAAATCTTTACTGGAATCAGACAGCAAATCTCAGAGTTGAAGGTAAACACACTGACTATGTGAAAATCATGCGTGGAGTGAGGCAAGGCTGTATTTTGTCTCCTCTAATCTTCAATGTGTATTCTGAAAGAATATTTATCGAAGCTTTGCACGAAACCGAAAAAGGTATTCTACTAAATGGTTACCGGCTTAACAACATCAGATATGCAGATGACACCATAGTATTTACGGACAACTTAGAAGACCTACAAGTTCTTATAAACAAAATCACGTATTACAGTCTACAATATGGACTCAATATAAACGTTAAGAAGACAACGCTTATGATAATTAGCAAGAAAAGAATAACAAAAGTTCAAACTCGTCACAAAATTTTACATTATGAGTACCACACATTCATGAAGAAGATGTTAAATAGTTACATTTAACATCTTCTTCATGAATGTGTGGTACTCAAATGTAAAATTTTTAGATGAACTGATGATGCTATCAGAATTCGATAGCGAAACGTCTTCAAATAGATGAAGTAGTATCAACTTTGTCTTTATTTCTCCACCTAGTTGACCCACCACTCGTCTGAGTGATATATTGGATAGACGTCGTACTCCTTTTTGCGATATATATATATATATATATATATATATATATATATATATATATATATATAAACAAAATAAATATACGAAGACGGTTGGCGTTTCGATTTAATTTGGGTCACTTAACATTCTCTTACACATATTTTTGTATCTACCAGTCATCAAAGAGAGTTTGTAAGAAGACTCAAATCAAATCAAAACGCACCGACTACTATGGCAATTGTAGGAAAAATAATTAGCAGAGTATGCTACTAAAGACCTCTAGTGACAAAAGATAAAGTTAAATGTGTCGATAGCAATTAAAGTAAACTATATACAACTGGTAACTGGTTTACTTTGGTAATTATTTTTCCCATAATTGCCATAGTAGTCGGTGTGTTTTGATTTGGTTTGAGTCTTCTTACAAACTCTCTCTGAGGACGGGTAAACCCAAAAACACGTGTTAAGAGAATGGTCTTCTTCTTCTCGTGCCACTCCTAGCGGAGATTGGAAATCATCATGGCCACTGCGACTTTGTTAGCAGCGCGCCTGAAAAGTTCAATCGAACTACACCCGAACCATTCACGTAGATTACGAAGCCACGATATTTTTCTTCTTCCCACACTTCTTTTGCCCATAATTTTGCCCTGCATGATGTTTCTTAAAAGTTCGTACTTTTCACCTCTCACAATGTGCCCCAAGTATTCCATCTTTCTAGTTTTTATCTCATTTAGAATTTCGCATCTTTTGTCTAAAGTTTGGAGTACTTGCGTGTTAGTGACGCGGTCCATCCATGATATTCTGAGAATGCGCCTATAGCACCACATCTTGAAAGCTTCGATGTTTTTTATGGTCAACTGTTTTAGTGTCCAAGCCTCAACTCCATATAACAGGGTAAAAAAGACATAACACCGCAGCATTCGTATTCGTAACTTTATATTGATATCACGATTGCAAAAGAGTTTGCGCATTCTATTAAAGACTGATCTAGCGATTTCTATTCTACATCTAATCTCTTTTGTTTGATCAGTATCGTCTGTGATCCAAGCACCTAGATATTTATAACAGGGCACACGCTCAATCGTTGTATTGTCTATTACAAGATTAGCTCTGATGTTCTTTGATTTCGTGATTACCATAAATTTAGTTTTTTTCAATTAATGTTCAAGCCGTAACTTTTCAAGCCGTAACTTTTTTAATTTTTTAACGTAATTTTTTTTTATGTTTTGGGTGCATGCAATTGGGTCCAGATTATTGACAAAAATGTGTATTAGTCTGATCCGCCTACCCCAAAATTGCCGGAAAAAAAGACAAAGCCAAATCGAATTAAAAATTCTCAAGTTTTTCATCCGATATAAAGACCTTCAAAATGAAAGTTTTTCTCAACGAACCGTTAGTTGTAGGAAAATTCTGAGTATGGCAAAAGAACGAAGCGGTCAATTTTATGTAAGAAATGTCTACCCGCTTGACTCTAGGACTCTAGAGAATGGTAAGAGACTCTAATTAAATCGAAACGGCAACCGTCTTCGTATATTTACAGAAGAGATTGTTTGTTGGTAAAGGCAATATTTGAGAAAAAAGATTTAGATTAGAAAGAAGATGCATTTTCAATTAAGATGAAACCTGGCTAAACAAAAATTATTCCGTTTCAAAAGATCGATATATAAAAATATTCTAATTTTCTAGACAAGCTGCTTAGAGAGATATTCTGCAAGTTTAAAATACTTCCGCTAAAAAGATTTGGAGACTAATAATCACGCACATTGGTAGCGTACATTGTGCTGTGAAGAAAGGTGGACATTACTGCTCGTAATTCATTTTTTTTAATAAGCGTATTTTCAAGGCTTTTACACCGCCGTGTTTTGAGATATTCCATTTATTTATACGCCACAAAATTGTTTAAAATAATAAAAAAGTCCTGATGATGCCAAAATAATCTGATTATAATTCTATAAAGTGTGAGGCATACGTACTAAGTGGTTAGGTACGTACTAAGTGGAATCTAGGTGATGGCAAATCAGTGACTAAGATCAGGCTTGTTTCCCCCTTTTTTGTATTTATTGCTATTTTGCAGCAAAAGTAATATATTAAAATATTTTTAATCAGTATTATCAGTTATTTTTTTCACAGATATGCCCTGGTCTAATAAATATTAGTGAAGAAGAATACTCACCACATCGAAATAGGTTAATTGCCGGGGACTCATAAATTTAGCAGCAGATCTGAGTTGGAAGCTCATATGGCACAAAAGCTCCATATACGAGTTTACTAAGAGGTATCCAAGGTTTCCAAGAAAGTATTGTCTTAACAATGGCTGCGTGTCCGAAACTTGCTATGTATAAAATACCAACTGTACCAACACCCCAAGCCAGTCTATGAAAAGAAGCGTAACTTGCGGCTTCTACGGCATTGTATGTGTGATACGGATCATAGAAGACTTTTCCGCTAAATACACATATTATCAGAAAAATTATTGAGAGTGTTAATATTCCAAAGGACTTGATCTATAAAGTAAAATATAAATTAGTAAAAACAAGCTAAAATAATACAAATGTTTTAATAATTAATCATATATAATTTATAACTGGGTATAACCATATAATTAATATACACTAAAATGTCAAAATTAAAAATTCTGTATAAGTATAATGTTTTGGCCTTCAGTTGTGGAAGTATTTTTTGTTTAATTTCCTTTTGTATATTATGTAATTGATTCACAGTGACAGTTTTCCTTACTAAGTACAATGTTAATCTGTAACATCTCACTTGCTTTGTTTCTATCAAGAGTTTTTATTAAAACACTGGTAATTATTCTCATATATTAAGTATTTATACTGCAGCAAATAAAAAATGAAATAAATCATATGCGTGATCTCTTAAGTTACGCATCATTTAGCTGTCCCAGCTGGTCAAGTTTTACAAAGAAGCGTGTCAGAAGCTGATAATTAGTTTTTCATAGTTAGCTGGAGTAGCATGACAAAAACCTTAAGCATCTACTGGACAAACAAGGAACATTTATTTGAGACGGAGGAACAAAAATTTGGAAGATGAAAAGAATATATAGAGGAATTATTCCATGACTAGAGACAGGAGAATATAGGAAAGATATCAGAGTAAAGACTAGGGACCCAAATAAC